GGTCTCCGAACCCCTTCGTCTTGGGGAGAGGAACAAGAGGCCGCTGCGATGGGGGTCGAGGAGGGGTAAGTGCGCTGTCCGCCCGATTCGCCAGCCCTTCTCTCCGAGGACAATCAGATGCAACAGGGAGTAGCTTTAAGCTAGAATTAGTTTATTATTAAGGCTGAACAATATTTAAAGGCAACGACCACAAGCATAGCATAGGCAGGGAGGCCACCATCCAATCAGCACAGAGGTCATGTATTAGCACGCAGGCCCTTCTCATAGCATGACATAGTGTTCATGAGGTGGTCACGCATCCTTCACTGGCTAAGCTTTAATCAGTACTACTTTTTCTTTTTGTTGTGTGCCAAGCTGGCCAGCTGGCTCTGCCTTCACCTAAGCTGCTCAGCACCATCTTGTTATGCCTCCACACCTCACCTCATTCAGAATAAAAGCCTGGGTGATGCTGCACTGACTGGGATGAACTGAGTGTTGCCCTCATCCTTCCCACCTCACCACCCTCTGCTCTGCCTTGTTTTTTCAGCTCACACACTACTCCAGCTTCCTTTTCACTCTATAAATTACTGCACGTACTATTACTTGTGAGTATATGCATTTGTGCTGCCTTCATCCCCGGAAGCCCCCACTAAAGTCCTCTCTCCTAATCTTCTATCCCCAGTTGTCCTCCTGACTCACTTGTTTACTTGGATACTCTAGTCAAATATCACTTTAAGAGTGAACACTTCTCAGAGTGCCTTCAATAATTTGTACTTCATATATCTAGCTACTTTATTTTGCTTGTTTTTCTGTCAAGTATATCTTACAACCTATGTTAATCAGCTTCCTTGTAACTGTGGTAAAATAGCTGACAAACCAGCTTAGAGAAGGGAAGAGTTATTGTGGCTTACAGTTTAAGGGGTACCAGTCCACCATGGTGGGCAGGCTATGGCAGAGCAGTACGGTTCACATGTCAGAAAGCAGAGAAGAGGGAGCAAGGGAGGGGGAGGGGGAGGGGGAAAACAAGCTAGCTCTTTGGCTTTGTGCTTCCACCCTCCTTGTACAACCAAGGCCTCCCGCCTATTGGATGGTACCATCCCCATTTATGCCATCCCCATTCAAGGCAGGTCTTTCCTCCTTAGTTAAATCTCTGTGAAAACTCCTTCACCCATTCCCTAAGTGCTTTTTTAATCCAATCAAGCTGACAATCAATACTCACATCATACCATCTGATATACTGGGATTTTTACCCCATATATCTGTCTCCCCCAACTGTAATCTAAGCCCCATGGGGCAGAAACTTGGTCTGTTTTTGTATTAGTCAGGCTTTTGTGTTACAGTGGCCAAATACTGGAGAAAAACTACTTAAAGGAGGAAGGATGTATTTTTTTACCTCCAAGATTCAGAAAGTTCAGTCTACCATGGTAGGGAGGGGTGGTGGAGCAGAGCACTTTACATCACAGTGGACAGGAGGCAGGAAAAGGGCTGTCTGTCCATTTCTGTTGCTGCGATTAAGTACCTTGACAGAACACAATTTAGAGGAGAAATGGTTTATGCTAGCTTATAATAAGAAACCCTTTTGGGGATGTCAAGACTGCAGGAACTTTGTGCAGCCAATCACATCACACCCATAGTCAAGACCACAGAAAAATGAATTAATGCACGCACACTTGCTGATCAACTTGCCTTCTCCTTTCTATACAGTCCAGACTCAGGGACTGGTGCCACCCACTTTCAGGCTGGGTCTACATTTCAGTTAACCTAATCAAGACAATCCTCCACAGACATTCTCACAGGCCAACCTGATCCAGACAATTGAGACTCTCTTCACAGGTGATTATGGATTGCCTCAAGTTGAAGAAACTAACCATCACAGGGGCCAAAGCAATATAAAGTCCCATGGGCACACCCCAGTGGTCCCCTCTACCTACCTTTTACCATACGCCAATATTGCCATCATATTATGCTACCATCATGGGATTAATCCATTCATAAAGTCAGAGCTCTCAAGATTTAATCCCTGACCAAGCCTTCACAGGCACATCCAGAATTGGTCTTTACTAATCTTGTAGGTGTTTCTTAACCCAGTCAAGTTGAGAATGAAGATTATTCATTATAACCTTTTTCATTGATAGATCTCCAATTCTCCAATACCTGGAATAATGTTGGCATAAATTGGGAATCAATAATAAGCATTATAATAAATTGTGGTTTGCCTTGAATATTTACTGAATTTCTAGCATATGCAAATCTTGTATCAACTAAATAAACATTTTAAAGAGTAATTTTTAATAGGGGAAGAAAGACCATGACATTGAAATAATTAGAATCACCTGGAGTCCTACTAGCTGCATCTTCTTTCTCATTCTTCCCACCACATCCAAAGTTGAATACCTGAGAACTATTTTGAGGATGTGTTTGGAGCCACAGGATTAGGCTATATGGTGTTTCATTATTGGTACAAAAATTTCTTTGCCTTCAGAGGATTTATAATACTTATCATTAAGAGCTTGAGTGAGTCCTTGAGGGTGTGTCACTTTTCTTTTTAAATAAGTCATTTTGTAGGTACTATTTTGAGTAAGCGTATTTGCTTATAACGTATAACTGTTGCAGAGTCAAATAGTTACAGTTTCTAGTCCTTCCTGTGTCTTGGCTCAATTAACCTTCAAATCTACTATAAGTAGCTATTATGTAGATAAAGAAACTGAGGTTCGGGGACATGAGCTGCCCAAGGTCACTTTACTCTGAAGAGGTGGAGCTGAGCTTGGTGTTCAGGAGGAGGAGAGCCCAGAACCTTTGGGATCTCCCTCCATCCTTTGCTGCCTCACTTCTCTAAGGTCAATGACAAGTCTACCCATACAGAAACTGCATACCATTTACTACTCAGAAAGCTGCATTAAAACTTGGAGGCAATACCCAATGCTTAAATCAATGAACATCACTGAGTTTCTTCATGACAGGTCTTTGAGAAATGCTGTCCTAGTTAGTTTTAACTGTCAACTTGACACCGTCTAGAGTCACCTGAAAAGAGTCTTCACTGAAGGATTATACAGACGTGGCATGTGGACATGTCTGCAGGAACTTGTCTTGATTGTTAATTAGCAGAGTCCACTGTGGCATTAGTGTTCCTGGGCAGGTGGTCCTGGCTATATAAAAAAGCTAATTAAGTATGAGCAAGTGAGCCAGCAAGCGGTGTTCCTCCATGCCTTCTGCTTCAAGTTCCTGCTGGAGTTCCCATCCTGACTTCCTCTAATGATGGACTGTGACCTGGAAGCGTAAGCCACATAAATCCTTTCCTCTCCTAAGTCGCTCTTTTATCACAGCAATGGGAAGGAGACTAGAACCAATGCTAATGGTTTAAGAAATCTGGCACTCATCAAGTCTTCCCATTCCCTGACCAAAAATGTATTCTCAGAGGACTACTGTCCTTTCTGTGCTAAATTTTGAATTAAGTTATAGGAGGTGTTCAAGAAACTATGCTTCTATAAAGGCCTATTTACCATACACAGATACATTTTATACTCTGAAGAGCCACTTTCACATTCATATTGTGATGACTTCCAGCATAGGAAATTCTGGTCACATGGGGGATGTCTAACAGTGCCGTCTAAATAAAAACATGACTAGGAACCCTCAACACCTGGGAATACAGCACTGCAAGGTGACCAGACCTGGTGAGTGGTGGTATCTGAACTTGTATCTTTTTAAAATAGTTTTTATGCTAGTGGCAGAAGTCCAAAAATGACAAATTACATACCAGCTGTCATTGCTGGAGATCACCTCATGCATACAAGTGCTCCACCACTGAACCACACCCCTAACTTTTAATTGTTTCTTTAGAGCTGACTTTATAATACTCCCCATGACTGCTGGCGATCTTAGGGTGCCATAGACACTACTGAACAATTTTCTATACCAACATCTTGCTATGATGAATACATATATACAATAATGTAGGTAAAATTTTCTAGCATAGTTCCTGGCGCATTATTGAGCTGTTGGAAGACATCACGGGTGTATAAGAAATAAGAAACAAGGGCAAGTAATGTCTAGTTCATCACAGAATCACCAGCATTTGGTGCCACAAAGGGCCAACCTATTGTGAATGAAAAAATTGGAATAGCTTTTTGTTCCCCCCACTCTCCTTCACTACCCTCCTTGAATATCAGTTGACTTAGCCATTAACTGCTTTTAAAAGTCAGTATCATTGTCAGTGGAAACAAGACAGATGGTTAGGGCAGATGCTGACCATGTTGTAGGGAAGGATGCTGTTGAGTAGCTGAAGTGCTGGTGAGGTTGTGATTTTACCACAGGCTTCCTTTTACTACCTAGCTCATTTTCTGCTACCTCCAAACTTTCTCACTCCTTCTGCCATTCCTCATTTCTCCTCTCCATAGTACTTTCCCATGCCCCTGTTAAGCGAGTTGTGGATATTCGTTTGAAGTGGAGCTCCAGATAGCTCTTTCCCTGCAATCAGGCACTGGGCTCCTAAGAGGAAGATTTTCATGCAGTATTGCCCAGCCTTCTCCAAACACACACAGGCCCCTCACCCCTTCACTGGAACTACAATCCCTATGGAAGTTTGAATGGTTACATGAGCAGTATTTAGTAGACATGTACCGAGTTGCCTAGCAGAGGCCAAGCACTGTGCTTGCAGCAGAAGTTGCAATGTCCAAGTGGCACCTGCCACCTACCAGGTAGGTGGAATTGGAGGGAACAATCAAGTACTCCTATGGTAGGAGGAAGTGAAAGAGGGCGGGGAAGAGCCAAGGAGTGAGGGGAGGAACCGAGGAGGGAGGGAAGGAAATCCGGAGGAGGGCGGAGAGGAGTCGGAGGAGGAGCTGGAGGGGGGGAGGGGAGGAGCCGAGGAGGGAGGAGGAGGGAGGGAAGGAGTCAGAGGGGAAGGGGAGGAGCCGGATGGGGAGGAGGGGCCGAGGACGGGGGAGGAGGGGCTGAGGAGGGAGGGGAGGAGCCAAAAAGGTGAGGGGATGGGAGGGGAGGGGAAGGGAGGGGAGGGGAGGAGCCGAGGAGGGAGAGGAGGGACTCCGCGTTGCACGCTGCTGGTGCGGCATGGCTTCGGGTTCCTCAGGCCTTGGGGCCCGACCGCTGCTGCAGTTTCTGCGGCTGGTAGGGCAGCTCAAGGTGAGCGCCGGGGCTGCGGGCTGTGGCCTGGAGGTGGCGCGTGCTGTGATTCCGGCTCCCGCTCTTGCCCCGCGCGGCCTGGGGGATGGGAGGGAAGGAGTCATTGGGATGGAGTGGCGGCTGGAGGCGCGACCAGGCCGCGGCGGGTGCGTACACTTGGGCCTGCTCCGTCCCGGCGGGTCCCGAGGCTCCGCGCCCATCCCGGACCCCAGAGCTGTGCGGTGCTGCTGAGCACCTGGCGGGAGGAGCCGAGCGCATCAGCCCGGAGGATGCGCGGAGGAGTTTCTCTGTCCCAGTTACTTCCGGAAGTAACAGACCTTGAACCTAATACAGTATCTGCATGCCCATCCCCGAGTGACAGTGGTTTTGCAGATTTCCCCAAGTTTAAACATCACCTGTTTCATGACAGTGACTACTGTTTTTGAAATTCTTCAGAAGTGAAGAACTCTCAGAAGTGCAGACTGAGAGGATCACCCCATGATCTGAGTCTAGAGATAGATCCTTTATCCCTTATGCCTCGGAATTTGCAAGTCTATCACATGTTCATGTTCCAGCCCTTCATTCTGGTATTTTCTACTTGTGTCAAATGGGATCGCTTGACAGCAAAAGAACTACTACTCTTGTGTTTAGGAAAAAACAGGGTCGTTGTGTTGAGACAAAGTCTTCCTGTGTAGCACAGGCTAGCAGCCTTGAGCTCCTGGTTTGCCTCTACCTCTTGAGGGCTAGGGTTACAGGCCTGCATCACCATGCCTGTCACCAGTTTTGCTTTTATGTCTAAAACCTTGTGTATGTATGCCCCACGGAATAGCGGCTTTGTGTGCCTTGGGAATAGGTTTTTTTTTTTTTTTTGCTCACTCACTAGTTTCATATCAGATGCAGATTACTGGGGTTGATTAAATAAAGCATTTTTAATTTTTAAATTTTTTTAATTAAAAATTTTTTTATGTGTATGTATATTGGCTGCACGTATGTAAGTGTACCCATGTCATGCAATGCCCGGGGAGGTGGGAACCAAGCCTGGGTCCCCTGCAAGAGTAGCCAGCGCTCTCTAACCACTGAACCATCTCTCCAGACCCAAGTAAAGCATTTTTTTTAATAGGTTCTGAACCCATGACCCTGTCTGATGGTGAAAATACCTGTGGGTATTTTTGGTTGTGGTGGTGGTGTTTGTTTTTAATTCTTCATCTTGTTTTTTAGAGAGTCCCACGGACCGGCTGGGTATACAGAAATGTGGAAAAGCCAGAGAGTGTATCAGATCACATGTACCGGATGGCAATTATGGCTATGGTCACCAAAGATGACCATCTTAACAAAGATAGGTAACTTATGGAATTTTGATATGTATGAAGGTCTCTGGTCTGTGGGTGAGTACTGCTTTTCATGACTGAGACCCTGTCAATTTCTTGTAGGTTTGCTAAAAAAAATGTATTTGAAGCCAGTCTCACAGATTCAGAAGAACTCTGTGAGGATTGCTTCACATATTGTACACTGCAGTTACTTTTCTGTTGATGGGGTCTGCCTTGCTCTGAGAGGAAGCGTAAATATGAAGTTAGGTCCTTGTAGGTATGGGTAAAATTCTATCCTTGCATGAGCACATTGACTTTTATCTACCAGCTTTTATGAATAGCAGCACCCATTTGTGAGGTAACATTTTGGGGTTCTATGGGCAGTATATAACTGAGGAAGTGGTAGCCCCTTTTGTTAATCAATAAGTATTTTAAATGCTTTGGGACCACAGAACATAAAAGACAAATGAATTACGCAGGCCCAAAGTAGCTTCTGTACAAATCACGAAATAAGCTGGGGTAGTAGTGGAGATCACCGACTCTTGGTTGCTCTTCAGGGAGGAGAGTCATCTCTGAGTTGAGCTCTAAAGGGTTGATGCGAGTCAGGAAGTAGTAGAAGGAATGGCAAGAGCCAGAAACAAAGCCCCAAGGTAGGAAACCAAGGAGAGCCTTAGAAAGGAGAAGGAATCCAATTTGGTTACAGCAAAGCGTTTACTGGGGAGCCTGGAGAGTCCTCTTTTGGCAAATGGCACAAGACAAAAGGAAGTCATATAGAGATGAATTTAGGGACAGTATGAGATTTGAACTGTACAGTAAATAAACCTGAAGCAGGGAAGCCTAGGAGTCTGCCGGGCCTTTTGTTGAAAAGTAACAAAGCAAAACAGCCGGTTGTTCTGAGGCATCTACCTCGTCAGTCACTTGCCTTTGTCATTCTGATGATTATTATCATAGTCACTAATAATCGTTGCCAGGTGTTAAATGATCAGCATGTATCAGGAACATAATTTATTAAACTTAATTTGCACATTACCCTGTGATGTAATGCTTATGATGCTAGGGATTGAACTCATGCATGGTAAGCCCCATGCTCTACTACCAAGTTACGTTCCCTAGCATTCCCTTTTATACACAATAAAATTAAGAGTGAAAAAACAAAGTAAGTAATTTGGTAAATGTCCCATAGCTAGTGAGGGTTGGTAGCCAAATTCAAAACTGTACCTGTACAGCTGCATCCATTAGCTTGTATGTGGATGAGCTGTGTACTGGGACATTAGAGGGACTAATCATTTCTAAATTTTGTATACAACTAGATCATCTGGCTTTGTCAGTTGAAGTTTTTAACCTCCTAATTGAGAGTTTTGAAACCAGCCATTAAAAAAAATTAATGCCATTTCCCCTGTACTCTTCAAGTATTATGTTAAATATTCACTAGCAATTTTGATTTAGAACTCATGTAGGCTGGTGGAATATCATTACTTTGGAAAATACTATATTAAAATATTCATGAGGGTGGAGAAAGAAAAACATATTATGTAATTTCAAAATAGTATAGAAAAGAAACTAGTAGTGAATGCAATTCTGTGTAATTATTCAACATTTCTTGCCTGGTCAGATGTATCCGCCTGGCCCTGGTTCACGATATGGCAGAATGCATCGTTGGGGACATAGCACCAGCAGATAACATCCCCAAAGAAGAAAAACACAAGCAAGAGGAGGTCAGTGTTGATTGTTGACTCTGCAAAAGACCATCATTGCTGAAACAAAGCTACGTCACCCTGTTGCAGTGAGGGAGGTGACACCACCTAACCAGTCTCAGAAGGGGAAGGTCAGAGAGATTATGTTCAGTGTCTGAGGACCAGGGTGTGCAGATAATAACCTGATATCCACAGCTAGCTGCAGCTGCTTAGAGTTTGGGACTTAATAGCTTAGATTTGGTGGAAATAGTATGAGATCTTCAAGAGGGTCTTGAGGTATAAGTTGTTCATATCTACTGTTTTAGGAGGTTACAGTCTTCTAGAAGCAGGGATTTCTTGATGATTATATCATCAACAAATTGGTTTTAGCTTATTCTCAGCCTTGTTTCACATACGAATGGAATGTATGTCTGCCTTCAGCCTTGTTTGACATGGGCACAGGTGTGTTTGTTTTGGTTCTTGTTAGTTTGCATACATAGATGATTCTATTAGAATAACAGAAATAGCTGGAACTTCAATGAGTTTGTGGAAGTTATCCCCATATTTGGACTCTTTGGAGAAAAATTCTCAAAATCGCAACATAATCATTATTATAATTTTCTACTTAGGAAATTTAAATTAGTCTTTTAGAAGCTGGAAGTAAAAATAGTAAAGGAAAATATTTACATTCAAAGAAATAAGTGATGTTTATAAAATATCATATCAGGGCCTATGTAAAGAGGCTGAAAAATCCAGGAAGCCTTTTTTTTTCTTTTACTTCTTTTTCTAAATGATGAAGGGCTGGTTTCCAATGCAGTAATTATTACATACTACGTCTCTTGAAGGTCTTTGATATTGGTCCTAAATGACTTAGGAAGGAAGCCTTTATTGAGATGGTTTAACAGAGGAGGTGGACTTCAGTAGCTGCTTTCAGAACTGATTGAGTCCAGAGCTCAGCCAATAGGGTTTTTGCCCCTCTAGAAACAAGCTCCACAGAGAATTAGAAGTAACATAGGTTCCAAACCTGAAATATGGGCATAATGGAAATAGTACAGGGATGTTTCCCTCTTCCTTCCAAAGTGTGGCTCCAAAATATAGTCTTGACTATCAAGGCAGAAGGAGAAGGAAGGAAATATTTCTCAAAATGAACCCAGACTGTCATGAAATAAATTCTTAGCTTGCAAAAAGGAAGCACTTTGCTTGAGAGTCTAAGAAAGGAAGTGGCACCTGAACCAGAGGATGGTGGGTAATGAAGTGTGACCTGGAAGGAAAGGATGGGAAAAGAAGCTTCTGTCATACAGCTCATTTGAGGGCGGTAGTTTCATTTGTGTATAAATATGGACAGTGTAGCGAGAGCACGAAGAGCCTGAAGATTACCGTAGACCTTAAAGTGAAGAGCACAGGAAGAGACAAAACCATCCCTCTGGAGGTGCATAAGGATTTGCTCCACAGAGTAGCAATAAGAACCTTTTGAAGAAGAACCATCATGAATGTGAAGGAGCTCCAGTGAAGGGGAGAAAGCCTACGACTGTCCTGACAGTGTCACCGCAAGGAGGGGCACAGGATCCTGAACAGTCAGAAGGTGCAGCTGTCTTCATGCATGCATAGCCTGGCTAGGAAGGAAACCTTTCTGGCCCCAGTCAGCCTTCTTGCTGTTGCCTACTCCTGCTGATTCATAGAGGAGCAAATATCATTGGCAGAAGGAATCAGGGAGGCATCTTAAGAACATCGGGTTCTTGGCTTAGAAGCCAAAGGCTGGGAGAGTGCTGATCCTCCATTGCCTCTTTCTGCTGCTGGTCAAGGTTTAGGAACAGGAAGATCAGGATTCTTTATGCAGATGGTGTTTATGAACAAGGTCCAGCTTTCTGAGACATGCATCAAGATAATTAAATGAGGGATTTTTGGCTGAAGGAGGAACATGTTCAATGAGAATCAGAAGCATCATTTGCCCAGAAATTTCTCAACTGGATTGGCTAGGCTTTATACTGAAGGAAAAGGGAGGAAAAATACTTGGTAAATTGGAAGGGTGATTGTTTTAGAGGATATTAGGTATTAAGATAAAAGGCAGAATGAGTACGTAGAAGACAAAACTCTAGAACGGAGCTAAAAGCGATTCTTGTAGTCTAGCCACTCCCTTCCTCAGCGTTTTAACATAAACTTATTATAACCTGAACTGGCCAGCATTGCCTGACAACAATCATGGGGACTTAGGATGGACTTAGAGGCTAGTTGTAGCAGTGGCCAGCTACATTCCTTTGCAAAGAAAATAGCTTATTAAAATGGAGAGTAGAATTGTGGTTTCTAAGTATCTATGAGGAGTAAAGTAGACAGAGCACTGGAGGCAAAAGAAGAATGGGCTTTTATTATGGGAGTGATGGCAGAATGGGAAAAACTTAAAAAACAAGTAAACATTTTTAGAGGCCTGATATGTGCCAAGTTGTAAGTACTAGTACTGTGTATGCAAACATTGAGTTTTCACAGCTACCCCCCTAGGAAGGTACCATCATTACAAGTGAGAAAACTGCAGGACAAAAACGGTTAAGTAACTCGGTCGGGACTCTTCAGTTAGTAAATGCCAAGGCAGGTTTCAGGTCCAGTCTGGACCTGCAGTGTGCAGTGAGCCACCACACTGCTCAGCCATACAGTGTAGGAGTGACAAGTGATGCTTTGCAGGTGCTTGCCACAAAACCGACACAGATTTGCTGAAAGCTTCACTCAGCTCAGGGTAGGCAAATTCCTGACATACTTTGCTAGCAGAGGAAGAAGCTAGGGGCATCACCTCTCAAAATTTATGACTAAGCGAGAATGAGAGTATAGAAGTGAAGGTCTTGGGCTTGTGACCAGAAGAGGAAAGGACACACATTCAGCCATGGACTCCACTGAAGCTGATCTCAGAGCTAATTTTAAAAGGAAGGCATTATTCTGTGGTATATGATATAAGGACTATTGACTGAGAAGTCATGAAACTGTAATTCTCATTATATAACAAGTGATGTTGATGAGTTTGGATCCAGAAAAATCTCAGCTTCAAGAGGAGAGTAATGTGTTAGTTTTGTTGTCTGTTTTTTTTTTTTTTTTCAAAGAATATGGTGATTTTAATCAGTAGGAAACTATTAATGTGTCAGTGTTTGAATGAAGTGATCTCCAAAAAGAATTCAGTCTTGGACTGCATGGAGAGGAATAGCCGTCTCACAGGAGGGAGCCAATGCCTGTGTGCCCTGCCATGCTCAGTGCTGGGTGCATCAGCTAAGAAGAGGCAGTAAAAGAAATCCTTGTCTGTAACAGACCTGCATATAAATATCATTTGGTACATTCTTCTCAAAGACATGGACAAACCTGTGTTTCTGGAATAACAGAGAAAAACAATATTTGTTGAGACACTTTTAGTTGTAAACATGTATTTTCTCAAATATTTTGAGATTCATGAGAAAGAAGCAAAGAATAATGCAAGTATAAGACAAATTTTATGTGGGTAAGGGTGGTGTGATGCTGCAGCTGTTCAGGATGGTGGTGTTAATTCTAAGAGCGCATTGCTACTGCTGGTAAATACATTTACTCTGGTGCAGAGGTATTCTATAAGACGTTTTCCTCCCTGTAACTTACACACAAAAATACCCATTTTCCTTTTCATTGCTTTTCTCCAACACATCATTTTATCTTACATTACTTACTGCCTTAACAATACTAATATTGAGGTTTGGGGTTTTTGTTTGTTTGTTTGTTTTGTTTTGGTTTTTTGGTCTTTTTGAAACATGGTCTTCCTGTAGCCCCAGCTGGCCTGGAACTCACTATGTAGACCAGGCTGGCCTCCAATTCACAGAGATCCACTTGCCTCTGCTGGGTGCTGGGACTAAAGGCATGTGCCACCATGCCTGGCACTAATATTGATTCTTATAGCTTATTCTTTTCAAAGAGTTTAACCTTTCATTATTTTAGCACTGAAGCAAAGTAAGGGGTAAACAGGATGAGTTAGTGAAGGAATTTGAGGCCATTTGGAAGTGAGTTGCGCTTAAAATGTGATGCTTAGGTGAATACCAGAGCAATTAAAATGAAGAGGCTGGAGTACAGGTAATACTTGGGACTTATATTTATAAATAAGTACGGAGCACCTTCTGTTCTCTAACTCTCTGTTCAGATTTTCTCTGAGGTTTGGCTAACTCTCATGCCTCTTGTGATGAGGGAAGTGGCTTTAGCCTTTGCTGGGCACATCGTGGAAAGGCCCCAGAGTGGCCAGGTGTGAGTGAGTTTCAAGGTCATTCCCTCAGGCAGTTACTGTAGACACAGTAAGTCTGACTCAGCTGGTCACTATCCTGCTGTTTGACACTATGATCAGGGCGGGCAGGAGATGGAATGAAGCATGGTAGAACTGTGTGGGCAATTTTCAGTGTGGGACGGAAGCGTGCTTTCTGTGAGTGCTGTTGAAAGCCCATGTGGCAGCCTCTTGGGATGCTGGGATGCATCTCTGCAGAGAGGACAGAAGTATTCAGTGATGCAACCTGGGAATCTGTGAACCTCAAAAATGGTATAACTTCTTTTATATCATTGACAATAATTTCCTCTATGTGTGGTAGTTCAAATTTTACAGGAATAGATATGATGGAAATGAATGTAATACCAAAAAAAAATTGATACCAGTAAATGGCAGTTTATTCTACTAGGAGTATCTGAAAGAATCTGAGCCTGTTATTTGACTTTTATAGACTAGATGTTAGTTGAGATGAATATAGGCAAAATGCAAATAATGGTTCCATCTTTCAGGAGGCTATGAGACAAATAACCCAGCTCTTGCCAGAGGACCTCAGGAAGGAACTCTATGAACTTTGGGAAGTAAGTATATGCACTGGGTTGCTTTGTATTTAGTTACTGGCTCATTGGTATTTTAGTTAGGTCACTAACTAAAAGGTCACTCTGATTTATTCTTGTCACACCTCCCAGTTTCTCCATGCTGATGATGGAAGTTTTCTGTCTCATAATCTCTACTTTTCTTGCCACCACAATGCTTGGTACAGAGCTCCATTTCCTGCTGCTTTGCCTGCGGTCACCTACCCACACCTAGAATAGGAACCATAGCAACTGATGCATTTGGTAATTTATATTTAATGTTAGTATATGGGTTCCAATATCAGATGTCCAGCCTTCAAATTCTGGTTTTCTTGTTTATTAGCTGTGTGACTTAGGGAAATTTAATTTCTTCCAGCTTCAATTTCTTTATTAGTGATATGACATTATATAAACATGGGCAATAAAGTTATTAATATATGTAGTGCACTTAGATCACTGTCTGGCACATAGTAAGTTCTATTTCTGTCTCTAGTCCATGTCTTATTTTCTGTCTTCAGTACTTGTATCCTGATTTTGGTTTTAGAAGTTGGTCATTTGATACCTGTAAAACTTAGGATAATGCTACTATGTAGAAAATACCAGCTGATCACCACAGCTCTTCAGCACTTTGAACACCTGTCAGCCCAGGGGGTCACATGTATTTAAAGGAATTAAGCATTCTTGATTACAAGGTATCTTTCACCATAAAAGTGTGAAATTGTACTTCAGTAAGCCAAAGCAAAGCATGTTTATTTTGTTTTTGAAAGTTTCCCAGAATGTCATGATCGTATAGTGGTCAGTACTCTCTGAATTGTGAAGGTATTACAGAAAAGTATCTGCCCCATCACCTGCATTACGTTTTGAAGAAATAGGAAGCCACTCTCCTATGCAAAATGCCTGGTGCGATTACCTGTCCTTGGGTTCTTTTCTACCCTAAGTTTTCTCGCACTATTGTTAGATTAGATATTCAATCAACTGGAGATGTAGCATGTACCTTTGTAAAAAAATGTCTTCTCAGTGCCTCAGAGTGCTGGTAGAAGAGCCACTAAGAGGTCAGAGGATGGAAGATGTGAAAGACCAGCTTCACCAATGTCAGAGCTTCCCTTCAGGCCAGTGTTCCCATCGGCCCCTTCTCTTCCTTTCCCTTCTCGCATTTTCAGGACCCAGAATCGGGTCCTGAAGCAAACCTCCCAGGTTGCCACAGTTTCCTACCTCCCTTCATGACTAAACAGGTAAAAAAAGACTTACCTGTATTCCCTGTCTCTATTCCTTGAAGCCCACCACCGTGTGACCACCAGCCCCACTAGTCTCTGCTTTTGCTAAGATAGCACATGGCTTCATGGACCCAAAATCCCCTGCTGGGATTTCTTGTTCTTTTGTTGCTTAGGAAACCCAAGCCTGAGCCTTTTGTCTTCTTCAGTCCTACCATGGGTGGCAGAGTGCTGTGGTAGTGTCCCTTCCCACCTTTGTGAGTTGTATCCTGGCCTGGCCTGGCCTGGCCTCCAGGTATCGCCTGCAGGGCTGCTGGCACTCCTGAAACACCTCAGACACTTCCTGTAGTCCAAGCAAAATGGGCATCCATTGCTTTCTTCAAGCAGCCACCTTTCCTGACTCCCTCTCTTGACTTACAGCAAATCATCTTTTCTTTTAAAAAAAAAAATCTTACTTATTTTTATTTCGTGTGTATGAGTGTATTGCCTGCATGTATGGAAGTGTACCCATGTCATGCAGTGCCAGCAGAGGTCAGAAGAGAGTGTCAGATTCTCCTGGAACTGGAGGTAAGGACAGTTGTTAGCCACTATTTGGGTGCTGGGAATCAAACCTGGATCCTCCGCAAGAGCAGTCAGTGCTCATAACCACTGAGCCATCTCTCCAGCCCCCTTTTCCTTTTCTTTAGTAGGAACTTTTCTGGCTTTGGATCCACTCATGCAATTGTTTTTCTGAAACAAACCTCCCAGGTTGCCACAGTTTCCTACCTCCCTTCATGACTAAACAGGTAAAAAAAGACTTACCTGTATTCCCTGTCTCTATTCCTTGAAGCCCACCACCGTGTGACCACCAGCCCCACTAGTCTCTGCTTTTGCTAAGATAGCACATGGCTTCTATTTGGCTTATTCTAGCAAGCCCTTTGTCCATGTGCCATCTGGCACCTTGGTTGCATGAGAATTCTCTGCTCCCTTACTTAGTCTCATCCCTCAGGTCTTTGATACACCGTTTCCTGATTTTTCTTTCTTAATTTGTGTGTGTGCGCATGTGTAGTAATGGATGTATATAGTGTATGCATACTTGGGAGTTCTCATGCAGAGACCAGTGGAGGATGTTGGGTATCCAGTTCTATCATTCTGTTTTACTCCCTTGAGACAGGATTTCTCACTGAACCTGGAGCTAGGCCAGCACCTAGTAAGCCCAGCCGTCCTCCTGTCTGAGTCCTCCTGTCTGAGTCCTCCTGTCTCCATCCTCCTGCCTCAGTCCTCCTGACTGAGTCTTCCTGTCTGAGTCCTCCTGTCTCAGTCCTCCTGCCTCAGTCCTCCTGCCTCAGTCCTCCTGTCTGAGTCCTCCTGTCTGAGTCCTCCTGTCAGACCTCCTGCCTTAGTCCTCCTGCCTCAGTCCTCCTGCCTCAGTCCTCCTGTCTGAGTCCTCCTGTCCGAGTTCTCCTGCCTCAGTCCTCCTGTCTGAGTCCTCCTGTCTCCACCCTCCTGTCTCAGTCCTGTCTCCATCCTCCTGCCTCAGTCCTCCTGTCTCCATCCTCCATCCTCCTGTCTCAGTCCTCCTGCCTCAGTCCTCCTGTCTCCATCCTCCTGTCTCCGCCCTCCTGTCTCCGTCCTCCTGTCTCAGTCCTCCTGTCTCCGTCCTCCTGCCTCAGTCCTCCTGCCTCAGTCCTCCTGTCTGAGTCCTCCTGTCTCCGTCCTCCTGTCTCAGTCCTCCTGTCTCTGTCTTCCTGTCTCAGTCCTCCTGTCCGAGTCCTCCTGTCTCAGTCCTCCTGTCTCTGTCCTCCTGCCTCAGTCCTCCTGTCTCTGTTTTACTGAAAACAAAACAGTGAAAACCAATGCATAGCATAATGAGTTGCTAGAAGGGTAACATTTCTGTATCTGCCACTCAGGTCAACATTTATAACTTTGTCCTTTACCCCAGAAGCCTGTCTCTGAGCCTGTCTCATATCCTCTTCCCTCCCTCAGAGGTAGCCACTGGCCTGATTTTCATAGAAACCATTAGATGTTGTCCAGGGTTTTATTTAATCTTTTCCATATTATGTTGCATGCTCTTCCTCCTGTACCAGGATCCCTGGTTATGTAGTGCCCAGAGGATGCTAACATTAGACTAGCTCATAAACTTACTGCTTTATCCTTCTTCCTACTTGTTCCACCTCCGAACAATAATCATATAGAACAAAAAATAATTAAATATGCCATCAATAATCCATATGAAGAAAACCAGTTTTTCCCTTGTTTTTATAGTTTTCCCCTGTTTATCTGTTTTCCCCTGTTTTTATAGTTGTGTTGTATATACACTGTCAAAAACCTAATCATTGATACTAAGCCTTGTTTAGCTTTCATTCTATAATAACTATATCTGGTACTCACCAGTGGTCCTTAGGTCAACTTCTGAGCCATTTTGGCTGTCTGAGGCTTCTGTTTGATTCTTCAAGAAGGGTGCAGAGAAAGAACATTCCCTAAATTCTTCCTCGTTGTTCAGAGTCTCTGTATTCTTTTAGGGTTCAGTTTCTCTGGATATAAAACCCTTTGACTCCCAGTTTATATTCTTAAATATCTTAAGTATTTTTCTCTCACTTTCATTTGACATAAAGCATTTCTGTCAAAGTCCTATGATAATTTTATTTTCATTACATGCCAGATTCGAGTCCAAAGAATTTCTTTTTATATCCAGTAGTTTTTATCAGAATGTATATTTGTATTGATCATTCTAGGTTAGTTTCCTTAGGTGTTTAGTCTATATTTCCAACATATTTACTATGAAAATAAAATTTAATTTCAAGGAATTTCTATTGAAGTCTTGGTGGTTTTTTTTTTGGTTTTGCTTGTTTCCCTGAAATTCCTATATACCTCTGTTAGTTCTTTTTTGCCTATAGTCAACACTTGTCAATGTCTCTGAAGTCCTTTATATCTTCTTAATTATTTTAAACTTTTCAGTTTAACTTTCGTTTCAATTTCTATTTCTCTTATGATAATATTTATCATGCACAGTTACCCTTGGATTTTTAATCTTTATAAAAAATTTTATGTTGTCTCCAGAATTCTCTCAGGGTCTCTTGCACAGTCAGACAAACTATATAATTTTTTAATGTGAATTTATTATGGTTTATGCCCTCACGTAGGGAGGGGGTAAATGGGGGAACTTACGCAGACACAAGCACACTTGCAACCTGGCTCAGAGCCGGCAGCTTCAGATGCTCCCGCAGCCCGCCCATAGTCTCCATTAACTTTCGCCCATGCATCTTGGACCCACAGTCTCGTCCCAGGTCGGTAAATGCCCCCTCTCGCATCCACGTGGGTGAGGCACCAGAGCCATCTTTCTTTCCATGCCCACTGCCCCATTCGTTTCTCTGGGCTCACAGCATCCGTCCCAAGATGGCGGGGAAAACCCCTCCCCAGTCCATCCTCCGCAGAAGGCCCCGCCCCTCGGAGGAACCAGTCACCTGGGAGACATATGTATGAGTGTTTTGTTTTTGTTTTTGTTTTTGTTTGGTTTTTTTGCCTGCATGTATGTAAGTGCACCCATATTGTGCAGTGCCTGTGGAAGTCAGAAGAAGGTGTTGGATCCCCTGGAACTGGAGTTACAGGCAATTGTTAGCCACCATGTGGGTGCTGGGAATCGAACCTGCAAGAGCAGCCAGTGCTCTTAACTGCTGAGCCATCTCTCAAGCCCTACTTTCTTTATCTTGTAAGTTTGAATGTGACCACTGTGCTTTCCTGATGCTCATTTTGATCTGAAAGTATATTTCCCGAACTGTTGGAAGGAAACTTAGTTCAGATCACTTTTTTTTTTCAGAGTGGTTGTTGTTGTTTTGTGGGTTTAGTGTATGTATGTGTATATGTGTGTGTGCTAGGATCAAACCCAAGGCTTTATGCATACCAATCTCTACCACTAATCAATATGTCCGACTCTGTTTCTTAATTTTTATTTATTTTTAATTGGCCAAAACTGTATACCTTTGTGATGTGTACATGATGATTTGAAATGTGTGATTTGTGAAATGGCTAAATTGAGCTAAATTATATATTATCTCACATCATTTTGTATGTGAGGTGACAAGTTGCTTTCTGTAACTACACTGAGCTACTGCTTTCTCTTTCTCTCTCTCTCTCTCTCTCTCTCTCTCTCTGTATGTGCGTGTGTGCACACATGTGTGCATATGTATGTGTGCTTCCGTGTAATATTAGGAAAATATGGCGACTTATTTTTAAGGATTTCCTAACTTTGGTTCCCTTTCCTACTTTATCTGGATCTTCTCTGTTTTCATCTCTATAACCCTTACCTCACTCAACTTTGATTCTTGTCCCAGAAGGTCGTCTTCATGTGGGTCCCTGTGCTGGGACGGTACCCCAAGGGTCAAGCAGGGGAGTGTCCTAGGGTTGGACTGACCTTACAGAAGACCCTATTGCTCATCTACTACTAGAGTATGCAGGATCTCCCTCAGTATTGGCAACTCTTCTGAAAACTTGAGACTTGTAGTGAACACCTGTTCCCTCTTTTGAGAGTCTCATAATCTGGGTACATCAGATACCCTATTGCTCCCCTGTGCTCCCTCCCAGACAGGTGCTGGTCTTGTGCAGGGCCGGCCGATGTAGGTGGACTGTCTCACTTGCATATAGTTTTAGTTCATTTCTTCTCTTCATCCGTTATTTCTCAAATCCTCCCACTTATCTCCATCCTCCCCCATGATTTTAGGCATGACTGTGTTTCTGCTAGTGCTACAGAGTCTCAGAACCTGACTTCCTACTGCCAATCTCTGCTCTCCATGCAGTACTTAGAGTGATCTTTCTGAACTGCAAATCTGAGCATGCCTTTCCCGCTGAGAACTGCACATGATGCACAGGATGCAGGATAAGCCAAGATGCCACATGGAACCACAGCCTGGCAGGCGCAGACTCTTGCTTCTGTCTTCAGCCTTTTCCTTTTCTCTCAGTCCTGTCATTCTTAACAGTAGCTAAGGCCTAACATTAAGAATAGCTCTGAGTAGTTTTGTCTAAATGCTCAGCCTAATTCTTACCCTAAGAGCTTTGTCTATAGTGCTTTTCACCCTATCTTGCCTCTTTTTTAAACAAAAAAATATTATTACATTTTTTGTTTTGTGTGTGTGAGTGTGTGTGTGTGTGTGTGTGTGTGTGTGTGTGTGTATACGAGCATGCATGGACATGTCACAGCACATGTGTGGAAGTCAGAGGACAACTTGTGGTCATAGGTTCTTTCTTTCTACCATGTAGTTCTCCAGAATCAAACTTAGGTCATCAGGCTTGGTGGCAAACATGTTTACCTGCTAAGATATCTTGCTGACCCCATGTGTCTTTATTGGGAAATAAAATTGGATAATACCTTTAAAAACTGTTCTGTAAAACCATTAGAATTTACTATAAAATAAATTTCCTAATGCTCTTGAAATTTTTTTTCTCACTTTGAATATTAAAGAAATCCTAGATTGCTTTGCTTGGAGTATTTCATTTCCTTTAGTTAAATCACAAACTTGAATTTATTTAATATAACTATGAATGTGAAAGAACACTTAAATAAAATGTAATTTTTTTTAAAAATGCCTTTGAGATAAAGCAAAATATATGAGGATTCATGTTCAAATGATTCCCCTGTGCAAGATTCAGCTCTATCAAATCCAAATAGCTGCCTTTATAAGAATCAGGCATCTAATAAAACCCAAGAAACCTTTCAGTGATTTGTATCACATCATCCTGCCAAGAAACATGACAGGCTTATTATCTGAACACATCTGGGGTGGAATTACAAATGAGAATTTTGCAGGGAAACCGGTTGGGAACATTTTGGTCTTAATTGAAGAATGAGTCCATGTAGCATTAATTGGAACTTGTGTGAGTGTGTCCTGTTCTGAGAAGCACTGGGGAGGGAGAGACAGTGGGAAGAGGGAGGGCGAAAAGACTGCTCCCGTTCCAGCACCTTCACCACCTCCTGCCACGAACACACACAGCAGCGTCTGTAAAAGCCACGGACTCTTGCTGTGCCACCACAGTAGCTCTGTCTGGAGGGACCTACCTAATTCTACCCCAGGTAGACAGTAAGGACAAGGATTTTGAGGTAAACCTGTAATGAAAAGTGAGCAGCAAACCTATTAATTGGCTTAAAGAGGAAAAGGCAGTCCGATTAAAAAATGAGGAGAGACTATGTTTCAATATGTTACCTACACATATGTAAGTGCACCCACAACAGGCAGTGCCCTCAGAGGTCAGTCAGAAGAGGGTGTCAGATCCCGTGGAACTGGACTTACAGATGGCTTTTAGCTACCATGTGGGTGTTGGGATTCGACCCTGGTCCTCTGCAAGAGTGGCCAGTCCTCTTGACCACTGAGCCATCTCTCCAGCCCTGAGGGAATGTAAATTTTGAGCACAAGATTTAAAAACCACCTTGAAGTTAACTAGATTTAATCTACTCATCTACTTGACTCTAGTGGATCAAAGGATCTTGATCTTAGGGCTGGGGTGGAACTGGTCAGTAAAGTGCTTGCCTTACAAACGTGAGGAGCTAAAGTTGGTCCCCACAGCCCATTTTAATTGAAAAGGAAAAATAAATAAATGAAATAAAAGCCGGGTGTGGTGTCATGTGTGTGCAAGCCCAAGGCTGGGGAAGCACAGACAGGCAGATCTCTGGGGCTCTCCAGCCAGCCTTGCTCACATAGAGCTCCAGGCCAATGAGAGAGCCTGTCTGTCTCCAAAAAAAAAAAGGTGGATGGTTGATGCAATTTCCCTTTTCTCTTTTTCTGCACACACACACACACACACACACACACACACACAAACGTGTACATAAACACGCACGCATTTAAATTTTTTTCTTTTTTTCTTTCTTTCTTTTTTTTTTTTTGGTCTTTTTGAAACAGGGTCTCCCTGTAGCCCCAGCTGTCCTGGAACTCACCATGTAGACCAGGCTGGCCTTGAACTCACAGAGATCCGCCTGCCTCTGCCTCCTGAGTGTTGGGATTAAAGGCGTGTGCTACCACGCCTGGCCCTAAATTTTTTCTTTTAGGAATCTGGATCTTGAAATGAAGACAGGATATTGAACAGGAAGAGAGGAATTTGAAAATGTCTAAGATGATCAAGTGATATTTCTAGGGCATTGGGTGGGATTTGTGAAGTGATTATGATCATTTTTGCATAGAGTCCTGCAGTTAAACTGCCATTAAGTCAAGTGCCTATAAGTGTCTGTACAGAGTGGAGAAATGGCTCAGTAGTGAATATGGCATAAACTGACTCTAACTCCAGGTACTGAATAGGAGCTTCCTAGAATCCCCTACCAGGCAGCCTGGTCATGCTTTATAAATGTGCCCTACCTTAGGAGTACGAGACCCAATCTAGTCCGGAAGCCAGATTTGTGAAACAGCTGGACCAGTGTGAAATGATCCTTCAGGCATCAGAGTATGAAGACTTGGAGAGTAAGCCAGGGAGGCTGCAAGACTTCTACGATTCCACAGCAGGTACTCAGTGCTGTTTTCAATAGTAATAATCGGTTATAGTTTGGCCTAATCTTAGGGGACTAATAGTATGTTAGTGAACCCCCACAATGCTTGCCTTTTCTGACCCTTTCAAGTGGAGCATCTGGAAAGAAGATGATAGCTTCTCTGGTGAGAGTTCTGTGACATCTTGGGAATACTGCCACCTTGGAGTCAGTACTATGATCACATTCTGCCTCTGCCACCTACCTGCTGTGTGCCTCTGGGAAATCTCTTGGCCTTTCAGAGCTGGTGGCCTTATCAGGAAAAAGGGAATCAGAATTCCTTTTTCTAAGTCCAAAGTTGATGTTTTGAAAAGCAGATAGTACCAGTGAAAGGGCCCCATCTGTAAGTATTTTAGAAGGTGATGTAAGATTGAGTAGAAACGGTGATTTAAAACAGGTCCTCTCCACCCCCGCCCCCCAACCCCGCACACACACACAGCCCAAGTTACCTTCATCATTATAGAACCCCTGAAATGCAGCCCTGGGATCAGGGTGCTTGTGTTTGAATCCTGGTTATGCTATGTAACAACTATTTAAACCTCCATTAAACCACTTAAGCTGAGTCTTCCTTTTGTTTTCTTTTAAAAACATTTTTAAATTTTATTATTATTTTTTATGTGTATAAGTCCTGCCTGTAAGTACTACACTATATGCATGCAGTACCTGCAGGGGCCCAGAAGAGAGTATTGGATTCCTTAGAGTTAAGAATAGATGTTGGTGCCATATGGGTGCTGGGAACTGAACCCTGGTCCTCTGCAGTAGCAGCCAGTGCTCTTTACTTCTGAGCCATCTCGCTAGGACATTTCCTTTTCTTTATAATGGAGATAATTAAGCCTCATGTGGTGGCACATGCCTGAAATCCTAACACTCAGGAGGTAGAGGCGGGAGGATTGTGAGTTTGAGGACAGGCTCAGCTACATAAAAAGACTTTTTTTTTTTTTTTTTTTTTTTTTTTCCTGTCTTTAGCCCCAGCTCTCCTGGAACTCACTATGTAGACCAGGCTGGCCTTGAACTTACAGAGATCTGCCTGCCTCTGCCTCCGGAGTGCTGAGATTAAAGGCGTGCACCACCACGCCCAGCTAAGAAGACTTTTAAAAACCAAGGACTGGGAATGTAGCTCAGTAGAGCACTTGCCTGGCCTGTGTAAGACTCCAGATTCAATCAACCAGTATAAACAGGACAGTAATAGGACCTGTATTATAGAGTTGTGTCTGGATGAAGTAGGTTAATTTGTGTGATTTGCTTAGAACAGCCCTTGACACTGTTAGCTATCTTTCCTTTGATAGTTTCCAAAGCAAAGGCCCAAACACTGTATTAAAGATGGCTGTTCATATTGTTCCTTTCCCTTTCCTGGGAGACCTCTAGTGTGTATTCTGTCTCCATCTCAGAGATCTCTGAGTGCAAGGCCTTTCTCTGACCGGGATCCTTGTGTGGCCTCACAGTGGAAAGCCTTGGCTCACCAGGTTCCAATATATTTACATTCAAATGAAGTTGATGCAATTTTCCTTTTCTCTTTTTCCAGCTCCATTTCCTCTGCTCTAGACACAGCTCTCGTTTCTTCATACTGAACTGTCACTCCAATCTCTTTTGTAGATACAGACATCATCTCTTTTTGGGGGACGGGAAATCAAGCCTGAGGCCTTATGCATGTTAAGCAAACCTCTACCTGAGCTACACCCCAGCCTGATGTGTTTATTTTAAAAACTCTTACAGACTCTTCTTTCTAAAACAAAACCCTGACATAGTTGAATGACATGAAAAGCCTGGGACCTGAGTCTACCCATGTATGTCTCTGGTCTCCTTTCCTAATCCTCCCTGTGAAAATTGATTGTTCTCTATTTGCTTAGTCTGTGCTTGATCTAGAACTTGCCTCGTAGTCAGTCTACCTACCTGTGCCTTTCTGGTTTTCTCCCTTTGTTGGTGGACTGCTTTTACTCTAATAAAATACCCAAGATAATCAACCTATACTGAAGAAGGGTCATTTGGCTCGTAGTTCTGGAGGTTTAAGTTGTGATTGATTGATAGGTCTCATTGCTTTGGGCCTGTGGTAGCACATCATGAAGGCTGATGTGCTGGAGTAAATGGTGCATGGCCGGAACTGAAAAACACAGAGATGAGCCCCACTTTCTCCTTTAGGGCCCCACCTCTTAAAAGTCTACCCTTTCTTTGTGTATTGTCTGTCAGAGTTGCTGTGTGGAATATCTACTGTCTGCCTCTTTACCATCATGGTTTGCTGGCCTATGTTGTAAGCAACCACTGGGGTCCAAGTAGCATATTTCACCAGTAATTTAAAATGTAGATCATATTTATGGCACTCTTTGCATTTTACAGTTATCTTCTATTGTAATAGTCACAGTAGAAAAATAGAAAGGGGGCTGGAGAGATGGCTCAGTGGTTAGGAGCACTGACTGCTCTTGAGAGGACCCAGGTTCATTTCCCAGCACCCACCTAGAGGCTAACAACTGTCCGTAACTCCAGTTCCAGGGGACACGTGCATTATTCTTGTGGCCTTTGCAGGAATTGCACGGTACAGGAGCACTTACACACATTAAGTTTTTAAAAAGAAAAATAGAAAGGGAAATATGAGCAGAATCAAGAAATACAGAGCAGAAGGGTTGTCTAGTTTGAATCCCACATTTTGCTGAGGAAGAAATTTACACTTAGAAAGATGGTGACGTGCCCACTGCACTGTGACTTTGGTACACTGCTTCTATTAAAGTTAGTAAATACAAGTAATAAAAGTGTTCTAAGAAATGGCTTCTCATTATCTTAATAACCAGTGCTTAAGAAAAAGTGTCATTAAAGAATCACCAAGATATATGTAGGCTTTGACTGTTACAACTTAAAAAATTGTTTTACATTTATTTATTTGGTGGGTTGGAGGGGCATGCCACAGTGCAAGTGTGGAGGTTGAAGGACAACTTGGAGGGGTTGGTTCTCTCTTCTACCATGTGGGGGTGCCAGGAATCAAACTTGGGTTGTCAGGCTTGGCAGCAAGTTCCTTTACCCACTGAGCCATCTCACTGGCCCCTATTACAACAGTTGTGAGGGCTACCCAAGGCTTTAGCTTTAGTTTTCCTTCTAATTCACATCATAGCTTTGCACGCTCTTTCTCTCTCTTTGCTTTCTGAACCTTTGTGTTTGGGGAACCACAGAATAGATGACAACAAGAGGGTTGGAGATGAGCCTTGAGAAGTAGCTTTTGGGCCAAGGTTCCTAGGGCCTTGTGGGTCAGTGTATGACTCTGACTTGTTAGCTAGCCACCTGTACACTAGCCATCTATACTGACCTGGGAGCTTGGTTGCTACAGAGCAGCAAGAGGGGCTTTTGTGTTCCTCTTTACTTCCGGTTTTCCTGCTTGCCTTTTCACATGTAGGTACTGCATCCCCTCGATTCATTTCAGTTTCTGGAAGGAGCAGGACGATCTCGGCCCTGTAGGCTCTCACAACTGAGCTTCTCTTGTAGCTCTTGGGAGAGGCCTTCAGCGCTGCCTGGTGAGGTTTCCTCTAGCTCTGCTTAATGTATGGTTCTTGGCTGATTCTCACCCTTGCACTCAGTGACACCTGGGCTGATAGATAACGTGGTCTTCTTTACCCCTTTTCAGGACCCTAGACCTCCTGCTTTGAGGTGTGGCACACACAGAAAAAGAGTCCCTGATATGTTGTGGGGTCAAGCTGAGGGAATGGATATCTTCTTTTGTCAATATGGAAATGTCTTTTTTTTTTTTTTTTTCAGGAAAATTCAGTCACCCTGAGATAGTCCAGCTTGTTTCTGAACTTGAGGCCGAGAGAAATGCAAGCATAGCCTCAGCCTTCAGCAAGCCGGGCTCCTGAGCACTGCGCTGCTGCTCTCCTATAGTTTTGTTTTACTTCTCTGTTTCATGCCATTGTTCTGGTGATTTCCCCAGATATATGTCTATTTTCTATTGTCTAGACTTGAGCAAGAAATGTGATGTGATTCAAGCACCAAAATAAGCCACAGAACAGGAAATGCTTGTGAACACTCTACAGATGAAGACTTAATGGATGCATAAAGACTGGAGAGGGGAATGTCTTTTTTTATGAACTAACAAATATTAAACACCTTAAACTTTGATTTTTATATTGGAGGTCTTAAATTATCATATTTGGGTTTAATAACACATATCCTTGAAGAGAAGATTCACTGAAAGTTAGAAATTTTATTCGTAATTACTTTTAAGAACAGAGTCTTCTCAGACATAATAGTAAGTCCAGAAAACATGCTAGTAATGCATATTCTCCCCAGGTGAAATGACCCTTAGCAGATGATCACTTTTTAAAAAATATTTATTATTTATTATTTTTATTTTATGTGTGTGAGTGTTTTACCTATATCTATGTAAGTGCACCATGTCATGTTATACAAAGTCCACAGAGGCCAAAAAAGGCTTCAGTTCCACTGGAACTGGAGAGTTACAGATGGTTGTATAGCTGCCACGTGGGTGCTAAGAATCGAGCTCTGGAAGAACAGCACGTGTTCTTAATCACTGAGCCGTCTCTCCAGCCCATGATGACTTTCTTGAGTCTGGTTTTTGTTGTTGTTTGAGACAAGCTTTCACTTGTCTGGTCCAAGCTGGTCCTCAAACTCAAGATCCTCCTGTTTTTCCAACTGCTGGCATTATCAGTGTGTGACTGCATGCCCAGCTTGAGCCAGATTTGAATTTCCCTGGGCCTTGCCTCAGGCCCTGGTCATAGATTTCCAAGCCTGCTAGCAGGTCTGTCCTTCCTGATCCTTTCTTAATTGAGGCATAACATTTCAGGTGCCATGGTTCTTCCTCTTTGTGTCTTTTTCTACATGATTTACAGATCTAGAGGCCTTGGTTTTAGAAATAGTTACCAAGTGATAATAGAGTATTGCTAGAGTAACTCAGCCTCAGGTTGTATAACACTGTCATGTCTCCCCTTTATTTCTCTTTTGTGGAGTAAGTAATCCACTGTGCAGACCTTTAGTAATAGCCTACCATCAAATAGTCTAGAAAGACTAGCCATCCATGCAGGCCTGTGTGGTACTTCAGTCTGGAGCTGTCAGACCTCTCTTTCATTGGAATGGCAATTTCCATTGGAAGAAGGCCTTTGAGCCTGGTGTGGTAAAAATTCTAGGCATTGTTTCTTTGGAAAGTTTGCGGTAGCCATGGATAGTCAGTCTGCAGAAAGTGAGATGCATGATCTCTGTAGAAGCAACACACGTGTACACGCATTTGTTGTATTGAAAAGGTAAAAAGCAGAAATCATTATTTTAAAAGATTTAATTAGTAGGAAAACAACTATCAACATTATAGAGCTTTTTCTCTTGTCTTAACAACATATATGAAATAACCCACTCTTTATAACCAGAAGGCTTTTCTCTGGCGTTGGAGTTTGATTTTCAGTGTTTTGCCTGCTACAGCTTTTCATAAATAGTTAACACAGTTCGTGGGGGCTTTGAAGCCTCTACTGACTCAGACTTAATGCAGTCGCTTAATCATTATCCCAGTTCATCACTTTTCTACCAAAGGGGATTCACAATGAGTTACAAACAAAATTATTTCTGAGGCACTATGTTTCTAAAAAAGAAAAATAATTAATGATTCTGTGAATAAAACTTTAATAAAAACAGAGAAGAGAGTTGTTAACTTTATTGACTGTCTGCAAATATATGAGCATTATCACTTAAAACATTCCCTTTGTCCTTGGAGGATTCTTGCTGCTTGTCTGGAATTGGTCTTCTGAATAACAAATCCTGTAATTACTATGCAGAGTAAATCATTATTCTTGGGTTAAATTCAACAACAAAAAAATAATTTCTAGCTACCTCTTTCCCCTGTGACTTGCCAGTTTACCAGCTGTGACATAGTTCACCATGCCTTTGTGTTTGAAAAATGTCAGTTCATCTCACAGCCTTGTAGGAGTGAAATGTGCCTTGGGGCGTGTGACTGCCAAAGTACATCATGAAGAGGATCCTCTGGACTCAGCCTCTTTATGTACATAATCTTGCTGTCTTCATATTTAAAAGTGAGGAGCAAGGGTTTTTATGGGAAAGTTGCTGCTGTGGGTGGATATGGAGGGTGTGTCCAGGTTCAAGTTCTGGTAGGCTGGGCTGGATATAGTACGTGTGGCCAGATTCAAGTAGTGGGAGTCTAGGTTGGATATGGAATGCGCATCCAGGTTCAAGTAGTAGAAACTTGGTCCTCAGTGTTGTGGTGAGACCTTTAGAGCTGGGAATTAGTGTGCGGTAACTGTTGTCAGGGTGTCCTAGTTTGCTTTCTACTGCTTTGATAAGCACCATGAACAAACCCAACTTGAAAAGAAAAGGGTTTATTTTATCTTACATCTCCTAGGTCACAGTTTATCACCGAGGGGAGTCAGGGCAGGAACCTGGAGGCAGGAATTAAAGCCCAGGCCATGGAGGTATGCTGCTTACCGACTTGCTTCTCTGGCCTGTGCTCAGCCTGCTTTCTTATACAACACAGGACCACCTGCCCAGAGGTGGCACCACACGAATGGGCTGAGCCCTCCCTCATTACCCAGCAATCAAGAAAATGCCCCACAGACATGGTCACAGCCCAATCCAATGGAGGAAATTCCTTAATTGAGGTCCCTTCTACTCAGGTGTGTCAAGTTGACAACTGATGCTGTCCAGCACAGCTGACCCCCTGTCAACTTGACACACAACACATCACTACTAAACATGCCTTATCCCCAAGATCTCATGTTAATATCAATATTATATAATAAAACATAGTGCAACCTGAAAAGTCCCACAGTCTTTAAAAAATTATAACACTGTAAGTCTTCTAATTGTGGGCTGCTATAAAATCTGAAATAATTTAAAAATACTCATTTCAAGAAGGAAGAGCTGGGTACACTTAAGTAAAACCAAAGTCCTTCAGAATAGCTCAGTGTTGTTGCACATCTGAGATTCATTCATGATCTTTTGGGCTCCAGAGGGCTTGGGCAGCTCTTCTCTGGCTCTGCTATCCACAGCACACACAGCTAGCCTCATAGGTTCAAGCCAGCTCCACTTCACACCTGCCACTGCCCTTGGTGGTCATCCCTTGGTCCTGAGATCTCCAATATGCTGAAGTCTATACTGAAACTGAGGCTACACCCTCACCAGTGGGGTCTCCTGACCACTCCAGGTGCAAAGCTTCAGATTCTCTCCGTGACCCCTTCAACCGTGGGAGTCTTCACTGCAGCTGAGGCCACACCTTCATAATGGCCTTTCCTGGCCTCTCATAGTGCCAAGCCTCAGCTCCTCTCCAGGACCCCTTCATGCCTTCCAAACCAGTTTCATGTAGGAGACTTACACATTACCAAATCCTCTTTCCAGCTTGAGATGGAGCCTCAGACCCCCTCTGGACCACAGCTTCAGTGTGCAGATCCTGAGGAAATACTTCCCAGAAGATTTCGCCTCATTGATGCTGGTCTCTTCTTAATCACAGCTGATTTTTCAACCCCAGCTAACCAGCACCAATTGTCCCAGTAAAGCAAAGGTTTCATTTTAGTGGTGTTGGTCTCTTGTTACTCATAGCTGATTTTTTTTTAACTTTTTATTTTATGCGTATGCATGTATTGCCTGCATGTAGGACAGTGCAATTCTTGTGGAGGACAGAAGAGGCTGTTGGATCCCTTGGAATTGGAGTTACGAACAGTTGTTAGCTGCCATGTGAGTGCTGGGGTTCGAACCCGGGTCTTCTGCAAGAACAGTAAGTGTTCTTAAACATTGAGCCATCTCTCCAGCCCCTCACAGCTGATTTTTTAGGCCCATCTGACCAGAAACCACAGATTATTCAAAATAACACACACACAGCCCTGATAGTCTTCAGTTCCTTTGAAACTTCATAAGCCAGGCCACCATCACCTGCATTTCTCCACGCTCTCACATAACAGCTCACTGAGCTTCAAGTAATTTTCCAGTCCAAAGCTCCAAAAACTTTTACAATCCTCCCAGACAAATATGGATAGGTCCATCACAGCAGTACCCTACTTCTTGATACCAAATTTTTTGTCCTAGTTTGCTTTCTATTGCTGTGATAAATGGCCAGGACCAAAACCAACTTGGGAGGAGAGGGTTATTTTTATCTTACATCTCCCAGGTCATAGTGCATCACCAAGGGAACTCAAGGCAGGAACCCAGAGGCAGGAGTGAAGCACAGGCCATAGAAGAACACTGCTTACTGGCTTGCTTCTCTGGCCTGTGCTCAACCTGCTTTCTTATGCAATACAGGACCACCTGCCCAGAGAAGGCACTATCCACAGTGGACTGGGCCCTCCCACATCACCCAACAATCAAGAAAATGCCCTACAGACATGGCCACAGTCCAGTCCATTGGAGGAAATTCCTCGGTTGAGGTTACCTCTTCCCCATGTGTCAAGTAGACAACTGAAGCTATCTAGTACATGGGGACATTGCTCTCAAGGAGGGTTAATGCTGGTGTCTTGGAGTGCATTCTCTTGAGAGGAATTTACTATGAAAAAGCCTGGCCCTTGAATTTCTCTGACTTGTTGGCTCACCACAGTATTTCTTCTACATATGGTTCTGTCATGGCTGCGAGACCATCACCAGAACTGGGCAGATGTTCTTGAATCTCCAAAATTGGGACTTAAATAAACCTCTTTTTCTTATAAAGTATCCAGCCTCAGATATTTTATTTTTATCAACAACAGAAACCAGAGTAAGGCACTCATGATTAGTTTTGGTTTGCCTTGGTAAAAACAAAACCATCTATGGTTTGAATTAAAAGTAGTTATGAGGGCCAGTGAGATGGCTCAGTGAGTAAGGTCTCTGCTGCCAAGCCTGAGAACCTGAGTTTAACTCCTGGGACCCACATGATAGACTGAGAGAACAGACTCAAGCAAATTGTCCTTTGACCTCCATGTGAACAACATAGTATGTATATACAAACATACACACACAAAAAAAAATGTAAAAAATTTTTAAGTAATAGCATAATTTTAACTTTCTAAAAAAAGAATTTTAACAATCTTAGAGAATATAAAAGGTAAGACTTTTTCACATATTATTTATTTGAACACCAGGTTTGAAGAAGTTGCTTCACAATTTTATATCGTCACCTTTTAACTCCAACACTTCTATTAGACAGCCTTCTGTCACTATATTGACTTATAAAGAGGAAAGATTAATTTCAGCCAGTGGTTTTGGAGTCCATGATTGATTGGCCCCATTGCTTTGGGACTGTGTCCAGGCAGCAACATACGGCAGAAATGCATGGTGGAGCAAAATCATTCCTGTCATGAGCAGGGGGGTGAAGGTGAATAGGAAGGGCCATGAGCCTCACATTCCCCTTTAAGGGCATGCCAACAGTGACAGGATCTCCCACTAGGTTTTACCTTCTGAAGGTTCTACCAGCTTGCAGCACTACCACAGGGACAGATTTAACACATTAAAATTGAGCTCAGGATCCCCCTAGCCTAGGGAATAGTGCTTGTATCAATTACTTTTCAGTTGCTATGATAAAAACACCCTGACCAAGGCAGCTTACAAAAGGAAGAGTTGATTTGGCTTATGATTCCAGAAAGTTGATAAAGGGGAATGGCAGGAGGTGGCTGGAGCAGAAACTGAGCATGCAGATCTTCAAGCAGTGACAGGAAACAGAGAGCCTAAATAGAAGCAGGTAAGGCTGTATACTCTCAAAACCTGCGCCCAGTGATGTGCTCTCTCCAACATGAACACACCTCCTAAAGGTTCCATAACCCATCCCAAACTGCCACCAACTGGGACCAAGTGTTCAAATACTTGCTACCTACCTACGGGGGACACCACAGTGCTGCCCATAGTAGGCTGGGTCTTCCAAATCAATTTTAACTTGAAAAAATAGTCCCCCACATGCAGACAGGCTAACTCATTGTAGACAATCCCTCATTGAGATTTCCCAGGTGACTCTAAGTTGTGCCAAATTGACAAAGCTAACCATCACAAGGGTGGTGATGTTGAAGTTTGCAGCCTTCATCTTTTTTATTTTTTTGGTCTTTTTTTTTGAGACAGGGTCTCCCCCAGCTGTCCTGGAACTTACTATGTAGACCAGGCTGGCCTTGAACTCACAGAGATCTGCCTGTCTCTGCCTCCCGAGTGCTGGGATTAAAGGTGTGCCTGTAGCCTTCATCTTATAGTGAAGTTCAAAAAGCTTCATGTTGGTGGACAATTGTGGGACAATAAACAAAGATGTCAGAGCTGCACTGATACCCAGTTTTGACCTCACATTGGCCACTGTGGATGGGATGGTGTGGAAACATGGCAGCCATAATAAAACAGGCAGTTCTATTCTCCAGAGTTAAAAAGCAAGCTTCTAAGAAAATGTGTGACAGAGTAAAGTGCAGGTTGCTGACATGCCCTACCGTAGTCATATTCTTAGTAGGTGTGAGTAGTAAGATAAAGTTGCATTACACATTTACAAATATTTTCCATCACAGCAACAGTATTTTGAAAAGTGGTAAATAGCTGAGTGTAGAAGCAGGACTGACTGCTAGCCCAACGCCACGGCAAGGCTCTGCCTCAGAAACATAATATGAATAATAAGTGGTAAAGTTGAAATTATAGAATGGCTTGTTTCTTTTAAAAGCCAGTTCATTTTATAACCACAATTCACATTACAATCTGTGGTGGATGAAGGGTGAGGAGATGGTTCACTGCATAAAAGGGCTTGCCGTACAAGCATGAGGACCTGAGTTCAAGTCCCTAGAACTCATATAAAAGCGAGGTTCATAGTGGGAAGGTCTGTAATCCCAGCAGTCCTGTGGGGAGATGGGAGGCAGACACAGGGCAATCCCCAGAAGCCCAGCGAGCTTGGAATTCACAGGAGAAAAACAACAGAGATCCTGTCTCAACTAAGTGGAAAGTGCTCAAGATTGTGTACTCATACGTACATAACACACAGACACACACAATTTCTGGTGACTGAATACAGTGTGTTTGTTGAGGTAGCCTTTTCTATAAGTAGTGTTGACTTGAAATTATTTTGATTAATTACCGTCTGTCCATGGTGTGCAAATATTCATTAGTGCTAGTGAAACACTTTACTACAAGCTGAGCACAGCTGGTTATCAGTGGGAAGCTCAACAGGCATTCAGATTAGGATGCAAAGCCAGGGAGAAACAGGCCACTCCTGCCTGATAAGGCTGAGACCAAACCTGAGCACCCCACCTCAAATCACCATGACAGCCCACCTACAAATGGCTGCTCTGATTCTTCCATTTGGAGAGCTGTGCCTTACAAACGTGACAGTGTGCAAGGCTACTCATACCATGGAATTGATCACTCTCAGATCAGGAGAAATAATAAAAAGCCTTCAGAGGTGTTGGAAATGTCAAAAGAGAAGTGTTTTTGTTTTGTTTTGAAAAGGGGGGACTCATATATCCCTGGCTGACCTCACTTTCACCATGTAGCCACAGATGACCTTGAACTCCCTATCAGTACTGGGATGAATATATATATATATATAAACAAAATTGATGAAATTAGAATTTTGATCAATGTTATAAAACAAATATCTACCATGTATTAGAAACTTTAATGTATTAGTTCTCCTGAATGGTTTTCTATCCAACTTTATACTGTTTTAAGATTGTAAGGCTGAGACAACTGTGTATAGAAGTCAGTTGGCGAAGGTTTGTTTATAGTACCATATACTGTTTTATCTGATACGATTTAGTGTGCTGAATGTGGTTTGTTTGTTTGTTTCCCAGCACCCACATGGCAGCTAACAACTGTCCATAACTCCAGTTCCAGGGGGATCTGACAGCCTCTTCTGTTCTCCAAAGGCATTACATGACACGGGTGCACTTACCTACATGCAGGCAATACACACATACACATAAAAATAATAAAATACTTTTTTAAAAAGGAGGTAAAGAGTTCAAAAAAGTGACTGGAAAGAGATTGGGGGCAGAAAAACTGTGCAGTTTATGCTATGGTTAGGGAGTTGGCACTGCCTGCATGCCAACTAGACAGAGTTGGTTTCCTGCCAGAGGATGAGTTAAACCTGTATCAGTCCACTGTGATCAACCATACAGCCCCAAGAGTTCCATCTGCTGAGGTGTCAGACCTCAGCAGATCATGTGGCCCTCAACCAGCTTCATTTTCAATTATATGTATGGACCGAAAAAATTGTCATGCTCCATTAATTTGAACAGAAATGTTCAGATTAGCTTCATTTCACTATGTCACGTATATAGAGATATAGATACAGTATATTTCTATTTATGTTTTTTGTTTATTGTTTTGTCAAGATCTTGTTATTTAGCCTGGCCTTGAACTCCCCATTCTCTTACCTTAGTTTCTGGATCACTGAGATGATAAGCATGTGCCAACACAGCTGGCTTATGTGTATGTTATTAGTTTGAGAGAAGATTTCATGTAGCCCAGACTGGCCTTGAACCCACTATGTGGTTGAAGATGACCTAGAACTTCTTATTTTCCTGCTTCCTCCTCCCGATTTCTGGAATTACAAGTGTGGACCACAACACCATGTTTGTGCAGTACTGGGGATCCGACTCAGCACTCTGTGCATCCTAGACAAGCACTCTGCCAACTGAGTTTTATCTCAGTGCATTGTGTGGGTTTTTTAACTATGAATTTTTTTAGTTAGTAAGTCTCTTCAGTGTGCATTTCACAAATATGCCTTGGGTTATATCGCTGCTACCAAACAACAAGTAGGTTTCCATTGAGAAGAAAAGAGAAACATGCAATGTAAAAGGTCAAAGTGGCTGCAGAAAGTCAGCTGCATTTTTATACATGCGAACAAAGTATAAACTGAAAAGTGTTCTAAGCCCAGCCTGTCCCATTTTCTAGTGATTCTTTCTTCCAGTATCCCTTATCTGACTCTTCTAGGCAGACTTGAGAGAATTTTAGAGTTGGAGATTGCCTAGCATCCTTGGGTAGCTAAGGTGATTATTATCTTCATAAGTTCTGTCTATTCTTTTCATTAAGTTAGATGTTGGTTTAAAATTGCACTTGGAGAATTGTATCTACCAACTTTAAGTCATCAGCAGCTCTGAAGAACTAAAGAAATAAGGAATCCAGTCATTAAGTGAATTATTTTAATTACTCAAATAAACATACATAATTGATGTAGGTGAGCGATCACAAGGGGTTTGATGAAATTTGCAGGGAGTTGTCATCCTGCTGTTGGAGACAGTCCTAAAGAGCTCCTGTTGACTCGGCCTTCAGGGACATGCACATTGCTATGGAGGCTAAGCAAAAACCAAAGCTAAGAATGAAGGTACCTGTTTGGGAAATATACATTGAGTTACACAGACAAGAGTTACAACCAACTGTGGGCCTGCTCCAGTTTGGCCATTTAAAAAGAGGACAATCTGAATGCTGCAGCGTGGTCATGTGGTCCATCCTCTACACAAATACAAATAGAGAGGCCATTTGATAACAATATCAAAACTTCAGTTCTTCAGCGGGATCTTGGTCTTCATATCTGGAGAAAGGCAGGCAGAGATGGGTTGGACATCGGCCACAGGCTGGCTGCACCTAGCACTGTGGCTCCTCACCCTTGGTCTGCCGGGGGCCTCCCAAGGCGCTCTGGGACCTGGCCTGGGCTGTGGAGTTGAGGACCTCCTCAAAACTGCCTCCACTGTGGTTCGCCCCACCTACTTTCGTCTGAAACAAGCAGGCAGACAAAAATTCAGTTAGTTATTTAGTAACATTTTGTAATTTTTTATAAGAATGTCAAACGTTTGATAACTTTTAAATTCAGAAATAAAACATATTTAAATAAATAAATAAATTCAGAAATAACTTTTTCTTCAGAGGCACATAAAGTTAAGTGGAGAAGTTAGTTTTCTCTAGAGGTGTTCCAGAATGTCATTCATAATGGTTCTAGGATAGTATTACAAACTTTAATTTCCCACAAGTTTAGCGTGATTCCCTTTATCTCTTCTACAGGTGAGAGTCTAATCCTTGTAGGAACATAATCCAATTTGTAGATGTGCAACATCTGCCCTATTCACCCAGATAACTGACTCAATCAACATGGAACTGGATTTTAGATTAGTTCTCCCAGTTTTACAAATGTATAGACATCCTTATGTGACTTAAACTTAGGTTTTCTATTTGAGGCCTAGTAGGGGAGTAGGACGAGCCTAACTTCTGAAAAATGTTTGTGTGGGTACATGTGTATGCGCAGATGTGCATGTACATGTATGTGGATACATATGGAGGCCAGAGGACAACCTCAGCTCAGCTATCCTTCCTCATGTGCCATCCATTTCTTCTTTTTTTTTTTGAGACAGGATTTCTCAATGGCTTGGAACGTAGGCCAGAGAGCTGCAGGGACTGCCCCACTGTTCAAATTGTGTGTGGCACCACACCTTGCTTTTTTTTTTTTTTTACATGATTGTTAGGATTAAACTGGTCATTGTGCTTGCAAGACCAGAAGCACTTTACCTACTTAGGGACTTCCTTAGCCCCTTGGGTTGTTTGGGCTTTTTGTTTGTTGTTTGTTTGTTTGTTTGTTTGTTTTGGAAGAATCTTGCTATGTAGCCCAGGATGGCCTTGAAGTCAATATTTTTCCAGCCTCAACCTCCAGAGTAGTGTCACCACACCTGGCCTGAAAACTGTCTCTTGACAAGGAAGAGTAACTCAATGGATCCAGATTTCTGACCTGTGCTTTGAGAGCTTGAGACAGATCAAGTCCTGAGCACTAGGAATTTCACATCTCTCTAGGCAAGTGAAAAAAATCCCTTAAAATGCTGTAAGGGAGATCTCTCTTGTGTCCTTGTAATTGACTAAATAGAAACAAAAAGAAGTCAAGTAACATTTTAAAAATATGCTTAAATATTTTGAATGATTCTTCATTAAAAACTCTTCAAATGAATATTTAATAATGCAAAATATTTAATAAAAGCCTGAGTAGTCACATTGGTCTTCCCTTAACCATCTACAGTGTGTAAAAATACCAAGAAAAAAAGGAGTTACGAATAGATAATGCTGTTATCGCTGTTTGGTGACCCACTGTTACCAAAATGATGTAGGTACGTACTCAACATGGAAAGGTATGTATCTACTTGGCCTGACCTTTAAGAACTTTACCAGGGTTTAAAAGTAGTTCATTCGTTCAAAATATCTTCAACTGCCATCAAGTCCTTTTGAACTTTAAATTCAGTTACTAAATTGACATTGCTTAGATCAGAAACACCCTCCTCCCTTTTTATTATACCCTACCCTGGCCTGTAACTCTCTATAGCTGAAGCTGAACTCCTGATCCTCCTGCCATAGCTTCCAAAGAGTAAATATTTTAGCCTTGGGACCATATAATCTTTTAAAAAATATTTTATTTATTATTTTTATTTTAAGCATATGAATGTATTGCCTGCATGTATGTGAGTGCATCCATGTCGTGCAATGCTGCAGAGGTCAGATTCCCCTGGAACTGGAGTTAAGGATGGTTCACAGCCACCATGTGGGTGCTGGGAATCAAACCCAGATCCTCTGCAAGAGCAATCAGTGCTATTTTATGTGTATGAGTGTATTGCCTACATGTATGTAAGTGCACTTGTCTCTTTCAATGTCAGAGGAGGTCAGAAGAGGGTGTCAGATTCCCTGGAACTGGAGCTATGGACAGTTGTTAGCTGCCATGTGGGTGCTGGGAGTTCAACTTGGTCCTCTGCAAGAGCAGCCAGTGCTCTTAACTGCTGAGCATCTCTCCAGCCTGGGACCACATAATCTTGATGATATATAAATACATAAATCAGCTTTTGTAGAAAATGATCAGTCTTAGATCATACTATGTAAGTAAACAGCATGGTTTGATGAGGTATGCACAATAGAATTTGAATTTCATGTAATTTACTTTTCACACATGACAAAATATTCTTTTGTAATTTTCAACCATTAAGATGTAAAGCCACATTTAGCTTATATATAATCCAAAAGTAGGTGACCAGCTGGTTCAATGTTCTTAATTTATGGACTTCTGCACAAAGCTTCAATTGCTACATTTTCTTCTCTTAGCGCTGAGAAGAGGCAGGGTAGACAAGAACACATTCAGCTGTGTAATTTTTCACTATGTTTGTTTATTTCCTGAGAGAAACAAGTAAGTTTAATATAGTGTAATCTACTGTGTTAGCTGTTCCAAATCCTTTAGGATTTTTTTTTAAATTCACATTCTCTAATAATAGAAATCACACAGTATTATATAAAGTGAATTCTAATTATTAATGTTTTCTTTTAAACTTTGTTGCTTCTAGTTTTCTATTTTCTCAAATTCAAACAGTAAAAAGGAGATTTTTTAAAAGAAAGTAGTTTGGCAAACAAGTAGAATAGAGAGATTTCCTAACCACGTGTGTTTACTGTGTACGCACTGTGTGCGACTTTGGGCTGCAGACAGCTTAAGAAAAGACACAAACAATAAACCTCTTCTACCCTTCTCTCATCCAAGGATCTGTCACTTTGTGCGCCCAAATTACAATTGTTCTTTGCAGAAAATTTCATCTTAACTGCTGACTTAGGCTTCCTAATCTCTATAATAAAATAGCTGACTGAGAAGACAACAAAACAGCTAGCGGTATAATCTAATCTCTTTGTTTTCTAAAGGTTTTGATTCAGACTATGTAATGTATTCATCAAAAAGCAGGTGCACTAAAAATATGGCCTGCTTGATATGGAGGAAGAGTGGGCAGCAGGGATGCCAGTGTTTGTGATAAAGCAGAACATGGCTAGTGATACCAAATGTGCTTTTAGGAGCTGGTTCTGCATCTGCCTGTTTTGGGGGGATGAAATAACAAGCATACTACTTGGCTGTACAGGTGACATGATTATGAGGAACTGGAAAGTTTCTCATGGAATATTATGCTCTTTATTGAATTGAACATAAAAGAAAATGCCCTGCTTTGGTACGATGCCCTATGGGCTGTGTCGGATTGCACGAGGAGATGGCATGAGGGGGCCTCACTTCATAAGAGAAGTTTTTTTCTTCTCATAGATCATAAATGTAATCATGAATCCCTGACACGGCTTTAAAAACCAAGCTTAATGCAGGATATATAAGAAGAAGTGCAAGACAGAGGTCTACAGGGACTTCCACTCATCCTTCCTGAATCTCAATCTATTTTCTCAAGAGAAAACAGCCTCACAACCCACAGGTGGAGAACGACACAGAAGCTTTGGCGTTTTAGGACATGAAAGTAAACCACAGCAGGTAAAGCATAGGAAAAGGAGCTTAATAATCTATTGTTTAGTCTGGGCAGCAGGGATTGAATGAGAAATTTGTAACTGTTGAAGAAGTAGGAGGCTTTATGCAAAGCATAATTAACAAATTCTCCATTGCTTGGGTGAGCAGAAAAAGAGGATTAGACTGTGACTGTGAGGGAACATGAGTCTTGTCAAACTCATGGACAATCCAGCAAGCACAGAATCTGCTTTCAGGAGGTCCTGACGGCACATCCGATGAGCTGTGCCTGTCTGATGGAGGAGGTTGGCGGTGTGCCTTCCATCCCTGTGAGAGAATAGTGAGAGGCTGAGATTGTGTATCAAACACAGGCTTACCAGTTGCCTAAAAGCAAATGAAAATAGGTTGTTCTTTATTCTTCTTTGGCTTCTCCGTATCTCCTTCTTCTAAAGAAACCTAAGAAGTACAACTTCTCCTTTGTCAGAACTTATCTAACAAGCAGCAGAATCTGTACTTCTGAGGTGATGTGAGGCTGAAATCCATGGGTTGAAAAAATGGCTCAAGAGTTTTGAGCCTTTCGTTTTGATATCAGATGTTCTAGAAAGAGACATGTCCACAACACTGCATGTTCTTCCTTAAAACAATCCCCTACAGGGTGATTTAATGGCTGCTACTGATCCTTGAATACCCCAGAAGAGAAGAGGCTGACAGTTACTGAAATCTCACAATGAGACACTGCCAGGGAGTGAAACCGATGAAGGTGTGGTAAGCACTGAGTGATAATTTTATTCTTGAGCCTTCCACACCCGATCGCAGGCCTGTTAACATAGACCATGGATCAGACTAAGAAAGACTTTCATGTCCAAATCATCGGGAGCACCTGGGACAGTAGTTAGGAATAATGTACACCCTGGTGGACACTCCTAGGTAGCACCAGTAAGAATGGCATGGTGAGGGTATGGAGGCAACTGAATCATCATTATTCCAATCTAGTTAAAGATCCCTAGTAATAGGCAAATACAGGAATGGACTGTATTCAGGATACAGATTATATCAAGATGTAATTACATCACTTCAGGTGGCAGCTTCTAAAAGAATACTCTTAATAACAGATTTTCAATGAGTTTTCCTAATTTACAATAATGCCTTTAAACTCAAGACTTATTTTGCTTTTGATCATTTCCTTTCCTCTGTTAACTAACATTTATGCTTAAACACTGAAGTTTTTATTTTTTTTAATTTTATTTATTATTCTTATTTTATGTGTATGCGTGTATTGCCTGCATGTAGGTAAGTGAACCCGTGTCATGCAATGCCCGCAGAGGTCAGAGAGGCTGTCAGATCCCCTGGAGTTATGGACAGTTGTTAGCTACCATGTGGGTGCTGGGATTCAAACCTGGGTCTTCTGCAAGAACAATCAGTGTTCTTAACCACTGAGTCCCAACAGTGAAGTTTTGAATACCTACTGGAATGAGAATAGTTTCCATTGATGCCCATGGATCACATGCATTACTGGAAAATAATGTATTTTGTGACTTTGCTTAATTTTTTCCTCTGTGATCACCATACTGCACTGTGTTCAGTATGTGAAATTAGTAAATAAGTCCAGAGGGCTGATGGTACTGGATGGCATTATAACACATCATAGGCCAAACCAGAAAAGCTGTGAGGTGTTATAGAATCTTCATTCACATTTAAAT